TTAACCGCATTGAAGAGTGAGTATATTGCAGTAATTCTGTTTTTTCTTGTCATTTCAACGGGACTAAACTTAAACTGACTGTTTTCAAAATGAGATATTTGACTCGTCTCTGATTACTGCTCGCTGAATGGAAGCGAAATAAGCAAAAATGATTTATTGTCCACCACTATTTAAGAATTCTTTTTTCTCAGATATTCCAGTTTTAATTTGAAGGGTGCTTTTAATTTTTTGCCTCATTCAATTCGCACTTGATCCTTCAAACTTTTGACGGGACATCTAAACAGTCACTAATGTCAAAGTATGCATAGTTTAATGCAGAAAAAAATGGTATTAACCGGCAAAAATGTATATGTGCCTATGCGCTTAAATGTGCACTTGTGTTCATCCTATTCCTGTCTTTGTCCAGACCTTGTGAACGCAGACAGCACATCTAAATTGATCCTTAAACCTGGTAATTTGTTTACTGTTTTGGAATAGTTAACTTACCCAAGGCTCCTTTTTGACCACATCTCCATTAAGAGCAAGTTGTCAAGGTCTCTGGACGGAGCTTTGCATTTTTGGGATTTTGCTTCTTTTTTATGTGACTTTACGTTGCCTAGGGTTAACTGAACGGTCTTTGCAACCCTAAAATCCAAAAAAGTGTATTTTTCTAAATGCTGTGCAATTCATGAACTGGACCCCTGTAAGACCAGTTTGGCGAAGTATGGGAGACAGCCACAACGTATTAGTATGTGCTAAATGTAGGCGGTTTTAATCGAATTTATTTTCAAGGGACGAGTTGGTTATGCATTTCTGGACACGCAGCAGTATCATTTAGGGACTTTGCAGCACAAACGTCAATATTGTGTGTGGAATGTGTGTCTCGTAAAGGCTAAATTGCGATTTTTAGGCAAAAATATTTCACGACAAAACACTGCCTCTTGTGACTGTTTATTCTGGCGGGACACCATCAAATAGAGCTGAAATAATTCGTGTGAAAGAAGCACTTTTTCCAACTTATTCATCCTTCCTGCCTGGGTCCATCTTTCTCATTAGCAGTGCTGCTTTCCGGATATTGCCTTGGATCAAGACTAAGTCTGGAACGAATCGGCCAACTTGCAATAGGCCCACCAGCAAAGCGTGGATTCAGGATGGTACCAGATGCCTCATCTAAAAGGCATGCTACACTCATCCATTCTCTTACGCCCCTGGAATGGGTCAACAGAAACGGTGCGTACGCGCCGATCCTCTTCTAATTTTATGTACCTTGATCGGTTTCCAATGCAGAAGAAATGACCAAATCTAGCTCTTGTACGGCTGGGATGGGCAGACTTAATGGTCTGTGCTTATTCTTGAGTATTAAGAACGGAAGTATTTTCTGGGCCTGAAATCTTTTGTGCCCTGCCGGACATGGTTTGGGTATGTTCGAACGTTGACAATTATTGGGCTCATCATTTTCTTGTCTTTTGGTTGTCGGCAATCATTTCTTTTGCGTTTTATACGCAGATTTTCGAGAATATCAGTTAATTGTGGATATAAAATGTACTCACTATATTTCGTTTAAGGTGATGAGGAGATTTTTGGTTGAATTCTCCCACAATCAGTTGAATAGACCTTTTGTTTCCACTGAATTTCCCCTTTGCCTTGCTTTCCCCGAAGGTATTTTCATCCAGGCCGGAGTTGACTGCAGTTTCGGCCTTGTCTGGACCGGTCTCATCAGCACCCCGAACGTGGTTGACATGTCGAGATTATACCCTGCGTTTTCACGGTTCGAGTCCCACTGAGGGTTCTGATGAGGCCAGTCCAGGCAAGGTCAACATTGTGGTCCACTCCGGCCTGGATGAGAATATCTTTTGGGAAGTAAGGCTGTAAAATTCGATGGAAAGAAAAGGTCACACATTCATGTTTCGAGGTTTGCATATGACTTGAAATAATCAAACCACTTTATACCCCATCAAATAGTCAAGATACATTTTTATATATACAGCATTTAGGGAAGAGCATGTGAGTTAGTTTAAGTATGGTTGAGAGGATGCTATCCTGCTCTGTACAACTGACGAAAGTGTATCACGTTCTCATCGGAATCGAAGGCAATTGCTTTGGAAACAGCGGTTGCAAGAATATTCCAGTACAGCTAATTGACAGCTGGTCAAGAACGATCCACCATCTTCTGGTGGCATCGACTTTTGGGTCTCTTCAACAAACGCTTTCATTCGAAATGGAAGTGAATTCTACAGTTATGCATCAACTTTTCTGTGCATCTGCAGACTAACTTTTCTTTTATGAGATGGAGGAAATGCATCTCATAACTGATTTACTGATAGCCTCAAAACTCTCATAATAACTTTCCTTTTTACTGATGGATTCACTATTTGTCTTGACAGTCAGTTTTAGTGGTCAGAAAGACGATTTTTATTTGCTGCAAACTTTTTTCACAAATAAACAAATGTATTTGGTGTCTATTTACAGGTTTTATCGTCGGGTTTTAGGCATCGTGAATTCGATTAATTCTTCTCTTTTCCAGCTCTCCCGCGAAACTGCTCAAATTTTGTAGCTCTTAACAGGCAGTAGTGGAAATGAGTCTCTTTTTCACCTCACTTTTGCGCTCGTACAAGAGTGAAGACACTCCGCATTCGGTCCTTAATAAAAGTATGGTACCCGGAGCCAATTTCCCTTTGATGCGATCTCATCTCTTGTCTTCCTGCGTCTTTCTGGCTATGCCGTTTCTGGCGTTTTTGATTGTTGAGGCCTTTCTTGCCCAACAACGCTAACTTTTTTGGCACTTTTTACGCTCTACGCCTCAGTCGCCATCGCTCCTCATCGTGGCTTGCAGACATTCTTCCTTTGTGGATGTTGACTGGCACCAATTTCGCTTGTTGTACTGTTTCTGTGCTATGATCGCCAGTTTGTATGTCCTCCCGCTTGGGCGTCCAACTGGACCGATTTTGATGTGTAACTTGACTTGGCAGGTATGAAGACCAAGATGGTGTGGCCTTTTGTGTGGTCGCAGTCTCCTTTCGTTGAATAGAAGTTTTTCACCTTGTTTTCGCAACTTGGTCATTTTGGCAGGAGTCCATTGTATGCATCAGCACTTCCAGAGTAGGACCGTGGACGTGATACATTCCCAGACGTTTCGCCGGCATCGCCAGTGAGTCTGGCCATTTGTAGCACCATATTACAACTCTGGAAGTGATGATGCATGCAATGGACTCCGGACTAGATGCGTTCCTCTAAGTCTTCCTACCAATGTGACCAAGTTGTGAATACAACCTCAAACAACTTCTAATAGTAAGTATTGTTTAATTATCTTGCTTTATTTTATATTCGATATATCACCATCCATAATGTGTAATAATGCAAACTTTCATTTCCAAAAATAGAGGTTGAATCATTCATTGATACCAAGGCATAAGAATGATTTGCTTTATATTTACTTACAAGTTGATGGCTTTTAGCCATGCTTCCCAAATTAAGGCCTCTGTTGGTTGATCTCATCGCAAGACGACGCCTGTATTGGCTTGACTACGAGAGTGGATGTCTCGTGGACTCCGTGCAACTGGCTACATCACATGAGTGAAAGTGTTCTGTCGACACCCGAGCACTCTGCATTTTTACCACATTTCACCTGTCGTGTGATGGTGCTGGACAATTCTGTGTAGTCAAGGTTTTTAGCATGTCAACCTGCCTCTTCTCTCTTCTGTTGCAGAAAAATCAGTCTCCTCGATCGCAACATCACGATGAATGTGGCCAGCCTTATCAGTCAGTTACGTGGTGATGCCCAATCGGCTTCATCACCATCACCTACAGCTCCTCTATCGCATCTTCCTCTACCATCACCACCATCATCATTATCAGCAGCAGCAGCAGTATCAGCACCAGCATCCTCAGCATCGGCCGCGTTACTTCAAACCGCCTCACTGACTCCATGCTTGGTGTCTTCAACACCTGGTTGCCGTGTCATGGCTTCTGCTTCTGCTGCCCTTTTTACCATGGCAACCAACATTTCAAGTCCCTCCAGTTGTGGGGATTGCATCAACAGATCACACTCTGATCCGTTTGGGTTTGTCCAACACCATCGTGCGGGCCAGCAACAGGTCGGCCCTGATGGTGATGTCTTTCGGCACGAGTTGCCATCGTTGCAATCTCCCTCCAGCAATTCGCATCCTCTACCGTCTGGCTCCCGACACCGGCCGGCGATTCTGGAGAGCCCACCATCCACGACCGTTCAACTTGATCTGGCCGCCCACCACGTTCACTCACTTCTTCCCGAGGCCCTCAAGGGTTCACTGTCACGGTCACTTTCATCGTTGCCCTCTACCTCTTGCCCATCCCACACGCCTGTCCAGCCTCCCTCAGAAGACACTCTTCCGATTGCCGAGTGTCTGCTTAGGCCTCGGCTGGACAGCACAAAAGCCCACGGGCCCAATGTGATTTGTGCCAATTCAGCATTGCATAGTTCAGAGTCGGCGGTCTCTTTGAGATCCGCACTAAATCGGAGGGTGTGAAACGCCAACAAGTTGGCAGAATCAAGGCGCTCCCAGAATTATGGCCAGTCTTTCCCGCCTAGTTCATTCATTTTTCGTATTATGCCATCTTTTCTCCCAGCCCAAGTGCAATTAGTTTGTTCACTTAATATATCTTTATCATGTTCTGCCCCCCCCTTCACCCTTGTACAGGAACTATTCCAACTATGCAATCATCATTGTGGGCTTGTATGTATAGATCATTTTGTGTAGTTCCCCAGTTACTTTTGCAGTTGGTGATTGCTTTGCTGTCTTTCGCTACTGTCCGTTTCTGTTTTATGCAAGCGGATGAGCGGCTTATTTCCCCCTCTTCCCATTAGGTGGTACTCTTTTATTCTCCTGTACCACTTGTCGTGGCGCAAGGCGCAGCTGATTCTCTCTTGAGGTTGCTTGCTTCTCATCATTGCTGGTGAGCATGTTTTCGTGGTCTCTTCTTCTGCTGCCGTGCCGGCTGACAACCGAGCTTTTTGGGTTTGTTTTTCCTCTCACCTTCAGCTTTGTGTGAAGCCTTTTCACACACTTGACCACCCGGTCGTTTGCTTGTCAAATGTTGACCACCTCGCAGAGTTCAGCTGCATTTTCAATCATTGTGTAGAAGTCGATCGTTTCTAGTTGGTCAGTGGTTATGCATTGTAGCTCCATAAAATAGGTTTGCCTAATCTGTGCATCCTTGGCATGCTTCGACTTGTTTCAACAGTTGCTTGACTGGTCGACTGCCCTCGAATGAATCCGGCAAATTTTTCGTCTTATGCTGGTCGCGCCTGCGATGTCAACTCTCTCTATCTACACTCGTCTCTTCGTCTCTTCTCTTCATCCTTCTCGATCATTTCAATATTCTCTTTCAACTTGGTACCTTTTTTCCGTCATTGTTTTTTTTCACGCGCAGCTAGTTTCTTGCGTGTCACGCACCACTTGATCCATTTCTATCCGCTTGTATCCTGACCAGTTGCCAGCTCTGCAATTCTGGACCCTTCAGAGATCGTTTATACCTACTGGCGCGTGTCTGCCTGCCTTGGAGACACTCATTAGTGCCATACTTTGTCATCCCGGCAGAGCTCATTGCTCCGCCTCTGCATTTTAGTCAGGACTTCCGTGCAATGTCTTTCGCCTGATCCTTATTTTATTGCTTTGGCACTTTACCAGATCGTTTAGTCTCTGTGCCGTCCAGTTTCTTTTGGTACCTGAATAAATTCCCCCTATTTTCATCTCTAGCCCTTTGCACCGTCGCTTAGCGGCACATGAACGGATGCTCTATCGGATGCGGGACCTCTCTGATCATAAATGTTTTCTTCACGAAGCAACTTATAATATTCCAAGCTCATCTGACCCACCCATCTTATATCCGACAATCTGTCGGCAACTTCGTGGGGCGAATGGAGTGCAAAGCTTTGATCTTATTCACAGTTTTGCCAGTGAAGTAATCCCACTACACTTCCCACCCTCATCTCCACTTTCACGCCCGCCCCCTCCTTAGCCAGCCATGTATGTGTCCCTTTTTATTGAATTGTGACGAGTAATCTCTTGTTTAACTTAATCATTTCATTCTCTTGTCTAATTTTGATTTCTCTAATAAATTCTCATACTTGCATAATGAATCCTCTTTTACACTTGGCTCTTCATCTGCCATTCCATGGTCTTCATGTTTAAGCATGCTTGTGCACATTTGGACTGAATTAGGGCAAAAAAGTCGAATCACTTTTGCAACCGTTGCTTGGCTCTAACTCTGCCTCGTCAACCTTTCACAGTCACTGTTGGCGTGTGCTGCTCTCTCTCTCTCTCTCTCAGTGATAATAATCAGCTGTTTTGTGGATGCTTTTAATGCATTTTTTGCCTTTATTATT